GCTTTCAGCTAACTTTTTGTTACTTTTAAATAGAGTTAGCCATTTAATGTTTTAAGCTAGCAGCTAGCATTTGTGTTTAGCTAACTTCAGCATTTTTTAAATGTTCCTTTTTTACTAGTTTTCTACTTTTGCCTGGATCTTGCTGCTTTTTGCAAACTTTAGTCAATCTTTTAGCAAGCATTTTGTTACTTTCAAATATAGTTATTTTTTTGATGTATTAAGCTAGCAGCTAGTTTAGCTAACTTTTGGCCAACTGACATTTTTTAAATGTTCCTATTTTTAACTAGTATTCTGCTACTTTTAACTGGCTTTTGCTGCTTTTAGCAAACTTTTGTCTGCTTTTAGGTAGCATTTTTTTATATTTAAATACAGTTAGACTTTTGATGTATTCACCAAGAATTTTGCTATATTTAGCTTTAAGCTACCTCTTACAACTTCCAGTATTTACTTAGTATTTTCCTTTATTTAGCTTTCAGCTAGTATTTTTCTATGTTTAGCTTTTAATAGCCCAATTTTAGGTGTTAGCTATCCTTTTCCATTTAGCCTTTAAGTGATCTTCAGTATTTAGTTAGTAGCTTGATTTGTTMAACTAGTGTTTTTCTCCTTTTAGCTAACATTTTGCAGTATTTAGCCTTAAGCTGACTTTATGCTGCATTTAGTGTATTTCTCTTTTTAGCTAGTGTTTTTAACTTCAGACTTGCTGCTTTTAACCAGTGCTATGCTACTCTGAGATTTAAGCTACTCTTTGCTACTTTAAGCTTTAAGGTGGCGTTTTGCCATTTTAGCTAGTTTTTTTGTATCATTTAGCTTTTAGTGTCTAGATACTTTGATATTTAAGTTAGCCTTCACAATTTTTAGCTTTTAGCTATTGTTTTTCCATTTTTAGCCATTGTTCAGTATCCTTTAGCTTTTAGCCAGTGTTTCAATGCTTTGAGCTTTTAGCCAGCCAATGCTACTTTTAACTTTAAGCTATATGTGAGCTAGCCTTTGCTACTTCTAGCTAGCATTTAGCTCTTTTTTTTAACATAATTGACTCTGTTTCAGCTGCTTCAGCAGATTTTAGCAGTTTGAAAGTTTATTTCTGAGTTAGGTTCCCCACAGAACAGTAATAATTATTTAGCTCTGATTAGATTTAAAGTGTTATCCAGACGCAGCTGCATGAACGGTTTTAACTCACGTTGACGATGATGACGCTCGTCTCAGTGATGATGTTCTTGGAGAGGTTTTTGAACGTGGGGTCAGAGTGATAATTAAAGTCCTCCAGGTCCTCCACCACGTTGTCCAGCTGGACGACCGTCCTCAGAGACTGACCGTCCCRGCAGCACGTCACCTTCGGGGACAGAAACTCCAGGAACGTGTCGTTCTTACTCAAGTCTTTGGCAGAAAACTGAGGGACGCAGAAAAGAATAAAATCATTTCAGATGCAACAACGGTGTCATTTTCTCATTAAATCTAAAGTTTCTAACGCAGTTTCTAGTCGCTCCTCGCTCCGTGYGGCTCCCCACCGAGTCTCCCCCTCAATCTCCCAGAAGCAGACAGAGACTTGTGATGAAACGACAACAAAGTGAGTTCACCTCCTCTCCCCTGCAGCGAGTCCTTCCTGAGAGACTCTGTCACTCAAAGCTGCCGAGCGGTGAAATGCAAGCGTCGCCTGTTTCTCCCACTTCAGGCTTTCTACTCTGAATGAGAAACCTGCAGCTGTTTCTGCAGACCGACGTTCATCAAACTGACGTTTTGCACTTATCAAAGAGCGTTTTATGATCTGCAACGTTCCTCGTCTTACTTTAGAGGTGTGCTGAAAGAGGCTCATAGCTTTAAAAATACAAAACACTATTTATTCCTCATCTTATWTCTGCAGCAGCTCTTGGTTTACATTTAGCTCATATGTGGATTAATTTAGCTTTTCCTACAAATAACTGTAGCTAKATTTCTCATCTACCTCAGTAGCTAATAACTTTAGCTAAAACTCAGCTACGTTCACTATCAAACTCATTAACTGAACTTAAACTTAACTGAACTGATAATTTGCTAGTCAGCTTGTAAATGTAGCTAAAGTTCCKGTTTAGCTCATTTGCTATTAAATTTAGCTGTTTACCAAGTTGCTCATGTAGCTAAATATGGCAGCTATCTCATTAGCACGTTAGCTTACCAAATATTCTCATTTAGCTTATAATCTTGTAATTTCAGCTACATTCATAAGTTACCTTGTTACGTTTCAAACTGATTCAGCTCATTTAGTAAATCAAACATTTTAGCTAATTTAGATAATTCTTCAAAGGATCCTGTTAGCTTTTATTTGTAGCTGAATTTAGCTGATTTGTGATTAATTTCATCTATTTATCAATTTGCTCGCAATAAAAAATGTGTCTACATATTTCAGCTAACTCATTAGCATGTAAAAATTATCTCGTTTAGCAGACTGTACTGCTTAAGGAAGCTGAGATCCTTCAATGTCTGATCTTCTACAAGTCTGTTGTTGAGAGRGTCATCTCTTCTGCCATCATCTGTTGGGGCAGCAGCATCAGAGCCAGGGACCTAAAAAGGCTAAACGACCTGATAAAGAAGGATTTTACATCAAATCAAGAACATTGTGGACAACCCTGACCATCCTCTTCATCAGACTGTCATAGAAAGACAAAGTGTCTTCAGTTGGAGGCTTCTTCAACTTCACTGTAATACAGACGCTACAGAAGATCCTTCCTGCCCACAGCCATCAGCATCTACAATAAGMTTTTAGTTAAATGAGTTACAACAACACCTCATTTCCCTCTGGGATCAATAAAGTATTTTTGAATTGAATTAGCAGTTAGCTGATGTATATTTGGCTAGTTAGCTTGCTTTTAGCTGATTAGCAAGTAGATTAAAATAAARTTGACAGACTGCTTATTAGCGGCAAGTCAGGAGCTTAGAGGAGAAATATTAGAAACAGTTTACTCTGAACCTTTAAATACTGATGTTACAGAATAATTATATCTGTTCTACCTTGACACTGTCCAGTAATCACATCTCATGATAACTAGTTTCAGCTGTGTTAATCTAACAGCTGTAGACTTACAGACTCCAGCAATGCATGACCTGTCTTATTTTGATAAGGTACTTCCTGGGCTGACAGCTCTGTCATTGGTTAGGTGTTACAGTTGTCGATTGTTGTGATTGGTTGTAAACGTGTTGCAGGATGTTTTATTATCGGCTGCTCTGCGCTGACGCAGCAGCCACAACTTCTTTGATTGACTTCTGCTCTGTTGTTGCTCAAATTAAACCCTTTGACGGCCACACACGCAGACTTTCTGTGCATTTATTCCAACGTGTTTCTGCATTCTTGGTAAATCATACCACAACTGATTTATCTGATTATTCAAACTCCAAACTTGGAGAGCTGCAGCTTCTGAACACCAGCTAAAATAAATCAAAACAGGACAGAAAACTCTTGAAGTGAAACCAAAAAAAAAAAAAAGAAATAAAGAAACAAAAAGCTGTCAGGAGATGAAACGTTGAATGAAGGAGGTAAAAAAAAAAAGCAAATACAGCAATTTTACAGAATAAAATCCAACCGTTCAGCTGCTGTCAGAGTATTGATCTGTTGTCAGACTCAGGTCATATTTCCATCTCTGCTCTGACTTTTATCACTTCGACTTTCATTCAGTCAAACTGTGGAGCAGGTCCATCCATCAAAAACAGCTTTAGTTGTGAGTTCGGTCAGATTTGATGCCAATGACCCTCCATCAAAATATAAACTGCTGTTTGGTACCAAAAACTACATCCAATATCTGCATTCAGMGGGGTTTAAGTTTTATTTTTCCTTCTAATAAAGAATAAATTTATAAAACATCAACTCTTACTTCCACAGGAGTGTCGACTCCGTCCTCAGTCCTCAGGACTTTCATCATGGCCGACTGGATCAGATCAAACCCGTTTCCTCTCACCACGATCTTTCGACCGCCACTACGAACACAGAACACCAGTTAGACACCAACTGTCTTTACTGGTCACATATTTACACCTTTTTTCTGTCTCTATCTAAAAATAAAACTCATTTAGATAATAAAACAAAATATTTTTTTATAAATTACACAGTGATGTTACAAATCAAAGTTAGCCCTCAGATGTGCTGTGAATGACTGTCAGCTACTACCACACCAGATTATCAGTGACGATCTGTAAAAATAAAAGAGCCATTAAAACGACATCTACAGCTAATTTGTTAACAAGTAATTTTAGCTGCATTTCCCAACAAGCTCATTACCAATAAATTTCAGGAGAATCTTAGCTAAAAAGTAAGAKATTTAGCTGATTCTGTAAGCTAGCTTATTAACGCAGCTGAACTATTAATTTTAGATAAATTTAGTAAACGTGTGTCATTTAGCTCAGTTGTGTTTTGACTTCATTTAGCTACATTTACCACTTCAGTCAATTGCTAATAAATGCAGTTATTTTTCACAGCTAACTCATTAYCTAGTAAAGTTAACTTAAGACGTAAATATTTAGCCAAATTTGCACCTAGATTCTTTAGTAATTTTAATAAAATTTACTTAACAATAACAATATTTAGCTAATTATACAAGCTAGCTAAAAGCTTATAAATTTAGCTAAATTTGTCACCTAGTTCGTTAGCTAATAAACTTAGGTAAATTTGTCATTTAGCTCATTTTTATATAATTTGGCTGCATTTAGCCATATTTAGCTACTTCATATGCTAACTATGCCGTTATTTTCAAAAGCTAACTCATTAGCAATTTAGCTTCATTTGTTATTTAGTAACTTTAGCTTAATATGTAAAGTATTGAGCTAAAATTGCATCTATATTCTTAAATGATTTTTTAAAATTTTTACTCCACAGTAACAATATTTAGCTAATTTTGCAAGCTAGCTTATTAGCTTATCAAATTAACTTAATTATTGCTTGATTTGTCAGCTAGCTCATGAGTTAGTAAACTTAGCTAAATATGTCATTTAGCTCATTGGCTATTTAATTTGGCTACATTTAGCCACATTTACCCGTTATTTCACATGCTAATAAAGGCAGTTATTGTCACAGCTAACTCATTAGCAAGTAAATTCAGCTAAATTTGTTATCTAGCTGATTAGCTAYTAATGTTATCTAAAAACAAGTTATGCTAATATGTAAATTGTTTAGCTAAATTTGCGTCTCGTTTTTGAATTTGAAGAAAAATTTAGTCCACAGTAGCAAGTAAGTGAAGATTTTTCTGTATTTGCTAAGGTATAATAGATACGGCGGCCATCTTGAATTCTGTTAAGTTACTAATTTCCCAGCGCTGAATGTTTCAGCTGAAAAATATTTGAACAATAAATTACATCAGTATCAGTTTTTACAACCAAACTTTTCTAAAATTAGCACCACAGGAAACACTCACCACATGAAGCTGGATTTGGGGAAATAATCTGTGATTTTAGGGTTTTCTGCGTACTGGAACGCTCTGGGAACATCTTTGGTGGTGTTTTGTCCGTACTTCACCGTCACCGTCAGCTGGTTGGAGGAAACTTTATCGTACTCGCCGGTCTTGCAGGTGATGGTTTCACCAAACGACAGGCTGAGAACAGGCAAACCATGAGGGCAGGTTTTAAACAAACCTGCTGTTTAATCAGTAAAGAAACATTTCTTCTTACACGTCGCAGGAGACGCCCGAGACGGAGACAGAGACGTCGTCTTGTGTCGCTGTGTCCAGATGCTCTCCTTCGATGGTGATAATGGTTCCTCCTGCTGCAGGACCCTTGGATGGATGGATGGAAAGTGGTTTGGGGTCCTGGACAGAAAGTAGGAAATTAATCGGTGTGATTCTGACAGGATCGACAAGCTAACGACTAATCTAAGAACAAAGTTGGTTGATGCAGTTTAAAACCTAATTAAAGCCTGCAGAGCTTCCTGCAGCGACATCAGAACACTTCTACCAGAACATCTGGATCATGTGCAGCTGCCAGAGATGAATTTCCCCAACAAAACTTGCTGCTGCACAGTGCTGCGTTACAAATGCTAGGTCCTAAWCACTGTTGTCTCAATCTTCGGTGGCGCCAGAGTAAAAGAAAGAAATAATGAAATATTCCTTTAAAAATATTTTTACTTTAAAGCAAATAAATAAAGAAACAGTGCAAACAAAGCACAGGTCAAACTCAAGGCCCGCGGGCCAAACGTGGCCAGTCACAGCATCACATGTGGCACGAAACAACTTCAAAGATGCATTAATGTCCTGAAATAAGCTGCTTTTGATGTGGCCCAGTTGTACCGGGAAGTGGGAAGTTCCTACTTGCAAGTTGTAAATTTAAGCTGGAACGCCCCTCCAGTGGGAACTCCCTGTTGGAAAGTGGGAGAGTTCAAGATGTTTGCTGCTCTCCACAACTCAGTGACTCTTACTTTTACTTTTAATGGTATTTCTACAGTATTTATTTCACATTTAGTCAGTCGTACACGTAGTACTTCCCAGTGTTTATAAGAGGACGTGTTAAAACGCTGTTTCTATGTAGGAAATACCAGGCAGAGCTCAGTTACTGTCGAAGTTAACATGAAACGTTAATTACGACCATGATGTGACCCTCAGTGAAAATGAGTTTGACCTAGGGATACAAGTTATCAATTAATGAATTAATCTAAAGTTGATTGATCTAATCGATCGACTAACGATTAATTGATAAGAGGCCATTTTCTTAAAAACCTGACAAAGTACAGTATTATACTTTATAAAATTCATTGTGCCAGCTGTATTAAACACTGACTGAATYAACAGAAAAATGTGTATTTCTCACACATTATTAAACTTGGACATATTTATAAAATATAACAAAACAGGAACCTGTTAGGTTGCTAATTGGAAAAAAATATATAAGTAAAACACTTAAACACAGGGTAATATTTTAAGATAAAGACTAACTCAAAAACAAACTACAAACATAAAACATCCCTGGAAGATGCGAGATACAAATTAGTACTGACAGTTTGTTTGTTTGTTTGTTTGTTTGTTTACATTCCCTCTGGTTCTATTTTAGCTGGGCTGCACGGCATGATCTGACGTCAGTTACTGTTCATTAGATTGGTTTACTGGCRGGGTTACGTCACAKAGATTAACTTCAAGTTAATATTTGTAGCGACTGTAAGACTTTTTRTCTATCACACAAGTTAAACTCAAGAAGAACATTGCCAATGCAAAGCACACTATTGTTTTCCTGTTTCTCTTTAATATTATTATTATTCAGCTTATTCCGTCTTCTTCCACGTCGCCACACTACTCTTCTTGCATACTTTGTCYTACAGCTGCCGTTGTAATTTCTATCTGTAAAGGTCCTGTGCCAAATGATTGCTATGCCTTTTGGTACCTGTAAAACTTGTAGTTTTTGAAATATTAATGTTTAAACTTTATTCCAAAATTCATATAATGGGAGTAAACGGGGCCTTGTAATGGTCCAARACTYRCCCATACTGGACTCAACTTGGTACTGCACCATACTTTAATAATATTTAATCTCAATTGTTCAGTGTTTACAATACTAATATGATTGTATTTTGTTGTTTTACTATAATATTGTCTTAATACTGCTCTATTGTTGTAATATTGTGCATTTTTTGTCAATAATTGTATTGGCAATGTGGCCTCTTTCTGCACACATACAAACCAACCCTTCCACCACCTTCTGCCACAGCTCCTTTGGTCTAATGGTCTATGTCATGGACTTTCATGTTTCATGTTCAAAACCCGGCTAATGCAACTTTAACAAAAAATCTCTTCAAACTTCATATCGTCACCTGCTGATGTGACAGGCACAAGCTGGTATAGAAAACACATTTGAACTTGGTCAAAGTTCATTCTGCAAGTCCAATGCTGCAGGCAAAGCCATGCTGCAATGATATGCTACATGGCAATGCACACTTGTTTACATCGTAAAAACCCATGTCTAGTTATTGTTGTGTCGCAAATAAGGCTAAAGATTTGCACGTTTAATTATGACGCTGCCCACATCGAGGCTGCTTTACGTTAAGCTCAACAGGGCCAGGGGTAGAATTAGGCCAGGCTGAGAGCAGTGGCGCCCTCTGCTGGATGAAGTCAAAACTACACTGAAATAAGGTTTAAACGGATGTTTTCAATTAATCGATGGAAGAAATTTTAATCTAATYAACCATTATTCTAGAATTAATCGTATGTCGATTAATTGTTTGCATCCCTAGTTTGACAAAAAACTTTCATCAAATGACATCAAATAATATCAATATATCCCACGAGGGCAAGAGGAGAACAAGTCGACTCCACCCTGAGGCTGGGAGTTGAACCTGCAACCTTCTCACTGTGAGGCGACAGCTCCAACCACTGCTCCGCCCTCAAAGAACTTCATAAATCAAAAATAAATATGAACTAATTGCTAAACATGAGTGGATTTGGATAAAAACGTGGCTCAAAAAGCTTCACATTGTGAGAAAAACAAAAACTTTTCCGAACTTTAAATCTCGCTCCGAGACGCAGGAACCAGATCTGTCGATCCAAACGGAACAGAGAGAAACTTAACGAGACGTAAAACATAAAAATTCAGAGCACAACGTTATCCTGCACGCAAAGCTTTGATCGCGGCAAAATTAAAGTGATTTTTAATTCTCTACAGCTAAATTAATAAACGTTTGAGACAGCGTTATAATTAAAACTTAACTCCAAAGGAAAGCTYAATGAAACATGAGCCGCTGCAGAGCCACACCTGAAGAATACGAAGTGACTGAAACGCTGCAGCTCCTGTTCATAAACAAGGTTTGGTTCCGAGAAACAGTAAAAAAAACAACAAAATGAGAAGAAAGAAGCAGAATCCATCAAGTCGGTGTGAAGGATTACGACGCTGCAGTGGAGTGTGAAAGAAGCCGTCTGAAAGAAACAAAACTGATCAAAACAAATCTAAAGTAAAGAAGTCCCACTGTGTTCAGGAATCAGAGCCGCACACGTTGGTTGACATTTCAAATTTACTCGTCGCGCCACAAAGCGAGCAGCAGACACGAAAATAAACAGACGTGAAGTGGCAGRGAGCCGGCCCGGCTGGAAGCTGAGCACAAAGACAACGGCAGCAGGAGGAAGGATCTGAACGGGAATCAAAGCAGCTGCTGCCGACGTTCAGGAATAAATAAAAAAAACAGATTTACAGCAGCTGGAATCTGAACACAAGAAAACAACAAGTGAGTCAAACTGCAGCTGCATGCAGGAGTTTTCACACATCAAATAAAGAAGTGTTTGTGTCAAACTCATTTAAAGACAACTTTTAAAACTCGTTTCAGAAAATAAATCTGGTCTGCAGCTCCAGGACTTCACACTGCAGCTTTGTTAAGACCTGACACTGGTTTCAACCGAGATATGAAAAATTAATTACTTTGTTCTGCTGCCATCTTGTTGATGAACCTGCACCGATTCATGTTACATGTTTGTTTTAGAGTCGTTCCTGTTGCCTCTGTGTCCATCTCTCTTTTATTCTTGCACAATTCTTTATATTATATTTGTATTAGTAGTAGTATCATTTCTAGTTAGTGGTGATTTTGTTTTTCTGTGTACTGTCTACAGTTTGTAAACTAGTGTGTGAACCTAGGCAATTCTCTTATGTTGAAAAGT